CTTTAAAACCTTCTTAAACACCTTAACTATAGAAGTTAGTAAACTATTTATATGCTTCTAAATCCTTATCTTTATAAGCATTAATTATAACCTAAGTTCTAAGGTATTACTTAGGGTTTACAACTGCTAGGGCTTGTTATATATAGGTAGTAGTAGTAATAGAGTGCGCAACTTTACATTAAAGCCTATTATAACCTATTATAGGTTAAAAGGAACTAATCTAGCGCCTTAGAACTTTTCTTAGATATTACTAGAAGTAATTACAGCATTATAGGCTACTTTAAAGCATAGTAGAAACTTTATTTTTATAATATAAGTAATCTAGTTGTGCATAAGGTTTTTAGCTTAGCGCCTATACACTTTTTTTAAAAGAGCAAAACAACTTACATTAAGTGGCTATAAGAGGTGTAATAAGTAAAAAGGCATGTAGATAGTAATAATCTTATTATCTTTATAGTATTACTAAAAATAAAGCAAGTTATAGCTTTTATAGCTGTTAATAACTAGCAGACAGTAGCTGCTAACAGTACACTTCTTTATATACACATTAAAGTGCTTTAACTAGTCTAGACTAAGCTAATTAGTAGTCTAGCTGCGCTTAGAGATTGCAATAACTTAATTTTAGAGTAGATTTTTCTCTTTATACTAGTTTAAAAGGTAGTTGCTACTCTAGAAGATAATAAAGAGCAGAATAGCCTACTCTTTAGCATTAATGCCCTAGATAGCTGTTGTCTACTCCTAGTTATCTAGCTAGACTACTTTTAGCTATCCTTATCTCTTTAAACCTGTAACAACTGCTCTAGTAAATATCTAGCTTATTATAAACTCTATCTTATTAAAGTTGTACGTGTTGTTATTCTAGATGCTATACTTAGCTTTAATATTCTCTATAAGGTTAAACTAGCTTTAAATTACTATAGGATCCTTATAGAAGGCTTTTTTATAGTTATACTTACGCTTAAACTTTACTTTAAGCTCTAGGTAACGCTTAATAAATGTATTAAGCTAGTTTATGCTAATATAGCCTATATTACGCTTAGCGTGTAAAGAATTAGCTATATTAGCTACAGCTGCTAGCTAGGGGGGAAATCCTTACGCATCTAGCTTAAGTATGTGCTAAATAATTACCTACTCCTTGTTATTATCTAGCTTCTATAAGTTAGCTATATAATTAGCTTAAGAAGGTTGTCTAGTGCGTTAGTTACTTATTATCTTTTAAAAGACTCTATCAATAGCTGTAGTGTGTTACTTAGAAAGTGTTATGTCTTATTTAAAAGCTTAGAGTGTAAGCTGCATCTAACATTTCTTTAACATGTTTAAGTAGTGTTATTAGAAATGCATTAGTGTAGGAAGAGTAGTGTAGTAGGGTCTTAGCAAAAGTAAGCAACTTAGGTGTGTGAGCAACTCGCCTATAAAGTACGTTATAAGCTAATTCTACAGCTAAATTACAGAGGCTAGGCAATAAAAAGAAGCAGGTGATTGTTAAGACTATACTTAAGCTATATGCGCAAGGAATTTCCTCTTAGATAGCATTTATAGCTAATATAGCTAATTCTTTGCGCGCTAAGCGTAATCTAGGCTATATTTACATAAACTAGCCTAGTATGTTTATAAAGTGTTATTTAGAGCTTAAAGTAAAGTTTTAAGCGCAAGTATAGTTAAGAGATATTTAGCTAATTATAAACCCTATCTTGCTAAAGTTGTACGTGTTATTATTCTAGATGCTATACTTAGCTTTAATATTCTCTACAAGGCTAAACCTGCTCTAAATTACCCTAGGACTTTTGTAGAGAGCTCTCTTATAGTTGTACTTACGCTTAAATGTTACTTTAAGCTCTAAATAACACTTTACAAACGTACTAGGCTAGTTTATGCAAATATAGCCTAGATTACGCTTAGCGCGCAAAGAATTAGCTATATTAGCTATAAATGCTATCTAAGAGGAAATTCCTTGCACATATAGCTTAAGTATAGTCTTAACAATAACCTGCTTCTTTTTATTACCTAGCCTTTGTAATTTAGCTGTAGAATTAGCTTGTAAAGGTTGTCTAGTGCTGTAGTTATTTATTGTCTTTTATAAGACTCTGCATATAGCTGCAGCACATTTCTTTAAAAGTTTTATGTTTTATTTAAAAGCTTAGAGCGTAAGCTGTATCTAACATTCTTTTAGCACGTCTAAGTAGTGTTGTAGGGAATGCATTAGTGTAGGAAGGGTAGTTTAGTGGGGTCTTAGCAAAAGTAAGCGACTCAGGTGTGTGAGCAACTCGCCTGTGAAGTACGTTATTAAAGCTTTTAATATATTAATTTTATTATTCTAGTACTCTAGGCTAGTTTTATTCTATAGTGTTACCTTTAATATCTTTATGTGTTTTATAAGTTATTTATAGAATAGAAATTATTTCTTATTTTTTTAAATATTATATAGAGTTATTAATTACTAGTAGAATTTTATTATAGTAGTATAGTTTATTACTTTTATAGTAAATTATATAAGTACTGCTATTATTATCTAGCTGCTAGTTTATGCAGCTTTACTATTTATTTTAGTATGTATTATACACTATTTTTTTTTTACTTTATGTAGTAGTAGAGCTTACTGTTGCGTTTTGCTAAAAGGTGAACCTTCTAGCTAGCACAGCAGAAGGATATATATAGACGGATAGCTGTACACAACACACCCCCTAGCTTAAACTGTGGAACAAGAGAGGTGAAACATAGTAAAACAACCTTAACACACTCTTCTAGCCTAAGCAACAGAACTTAGAGACAGATCTAGTAAGGTAGCCTCTATAATAGACGCACTGCTTAACTGCTCTTTGCTAAGCGTAGGAATTAAACACACAGTGCTTAGGGATAATGCAATTCTATTAGTAGAGCAGGGGTGCGCAAATTTTTAAGCGCTAACTATCTACACTATGTTGCAAACTAGGCTTATAACCGTTGCGTTTTGCTAAAAGGTTAACCTCCTAGCTAGCACAGCAGAAGGATATATATAGACGGATAGCTGTACGCGACACTTACTATATAATGTAAAGAATTAATTCACTCTCTTTAAAAATAAGTAATAAAATAAAGTACTTTATAAAGTATAAGTACTTTATTATTACTTTTATTAATTTATAATTACTAAAATTAACTACTAATTAGTGTTGAATAGGCTCTTTTAGCTAGCTACTTATAGTATAAGCACTTAAGTAGTAAAAGTAAAAGTTGTATATAGTGTACACAGCGTACAAAGTAGCTAGGGTAGAGGCAACATGTTTCTAGTTATTGCTCTGTCTTTTCCTCTATACAGAGGAAAAGAGGAATATCTACATGTTTGCGCACAGACGTTCGCGCACAAGCATTATGTAACATAGTTATGTGATCCTTCTTATGCGCAATAACTAGTATCTAGACTGTAACGCTACTGCTGTGTACAAATAGTAATAATAGTTATACATAAATTTATACTAGTATAAAAGTGTATTACTAAGCTTAAAGCAGTACATAAAGCTACTATATATTATAAATTATATAAAAGAAAGTAATTATAGCATAAAAGTACTTTTATAGTTAAAAATAGCCTAAGCTTAAAATCTATAACAACAAGTTTAAAGCGTGTAGTAAGAAAGAGAAAGCTAAAAAAGTATAAGCCTATAAGAAACATAACCTTATAGAACGCTATAAACAAGGCTATAAAGTAGAATATAACTTATATAAGTGTAAAAGAAAAGCAAATGTAGTACTATAATTGTATAAAACTTAATAGTGCTATTATAAGCTTAAATAGAGTGTAGATTTAGTAGAGTCTTAGTAGAGAAGCTAGCGCACTTATAAGATATGTTGTTATTAAAATCTATTAGAGTACTTTAGATATTTTATAATTAGCTAGACTTAATATAGTAATTATAAATTTCTAAGAGCTTTATAAAGTCTTTACAGTAAGGCTTAGAGTTACATAAGTATTAAAAAACTTAATTTTCTATAGTATACCTACTATAGCTAGGTGTAACGGCGCAGGCAAGACAATGGGTCCGAATGCGGTGGGAGTCCACTCAGAGGCATATGGGAGTGCGTGGGGACTCAGAGACCTGGGAATACCAATGACACCTATAGGCCTTGTACGTAGGGTATCAGAAAACTACCGAGCTAGCTACGGGGGCGAGGTGCGACTAAATACATGAGGGAATAGGGGTAACAGCAGGGGTCGGGGCCAGGTCGAGGTCGGGGCCGATACGAGGGCCTTCCGGAGGTTCCGGGCGACTCGAGATGGAACGATTCATGAGGATCGTTACACTAGGTAGATAATAACTACTATAACTTTATAGCCACCTAGGCTTCTAGTCTACCTAGGTGATAACTAATATACTTTTAATAAGCGATTAGGCAGAACTAATTCATGTAGAGTTAAAAGTGAAAACTCTAAGTGCTAGAGCTAAACACATAACTACAGTAACTACAGCGTCGACAGTTCTCTAGCTTCTCCGTGCAGTAGGCACCTTTAAGTGTATACTTAGGTTAAGTAAATAGTTTAATGAAGTTAACAATTGTTATACTTAAACTTCTACAGGGCTCTCTTGATTCTTGAATAAGCTGCCGACGAGCTCTTATAGCTCTTCAAGCACTCTACCAAGGTTGGGCATAACCCCTGCTACTAATCAGGATAAGTAGGTGGCACTCGCGCGTTAGAAATGTTAGGAATTTATTTCTAACGCGTAACTGTTGACGTCGTCAAAAATGACTGACGGCACTGACAGAATTCGTGGTGCCACCCTACTCCCGCGCATCTACTATAGGACCAGGGTACCCTTCTATTTAGCCGTGCTTCGCCATCTTCTTGCATGCATGCAGATCAGCATCCCCTAGTTTCCCGGTTCAAATGCTACCCCAATTCGCGGTCGATGCTGCGTCAAAGATTTAGTTTTGCGCATGGGGTGAATGACTTAATACCTTAGGTATGCTTGTTCTTACTAACTTTCTTTTGGATCGCCAACAGAATGCCAAATTCTCTGCGCACGATGCAACACCAATTGCATCCTCCCACAGTTCTCGCTTTTCATAGCGATATTGTTCTTGAGGAATGGAAGACAATAACTCATTTTATTGAGAGTGATGGGCTAAGTGTCTCAATTACAGGCGAGGGACTGCAAGTTGCTGAAGTAGTTGCTGTGGCAAGGTATGCCAGCTCAATTTCCGCCTGAGCACCGAGCGATACAACTCTGATGATCCTCATAGATATCGACGTTCTGTTTTCCTAGTTTACCAAAGAATGGAAGGTAGTCTTAAGACTCTCCAACTTAGACTAAGAGACGGAGAGGTAATCTATGGTGAGTCCGAAGGGGCTTTTATTACCCACAATGGATAGATAACTCTTTGTTCAGGTGTGAATACTGGATTTGGTGGTACTGCGGATGTTCGAAACCAAAATACGAGAGAGCTTCAACGCACGCTGATACGAGAACTGCATCACGGTATTCTGGCTCCCACAACCTCAGATCAAGATTATGATGGGTATCCAACACAGGATTGCGACGACACAAACTGGGAAGTTAATCACCTACCCGAAACATGGACTCGTGCAACAATTCTTATTCGACTCAACTCTTTGGTTAAAGGAAATTCTGCAGTCAGGGCTGAGACGGTGAGCCGTATGAGGGACTTGTTGATAAAAGACATCATCCCGATAGTGCCTCTCCGCAGCAGCATATCAGCATCTGGAAATTTATCACCCTTGTCTTATATCGGCGGTGCAATTCAAGGAAAGCCAACGATTCGGGTTCATCCCAATTCGTCTCGCTTGAATGCGGCTTCTGCCTTCAGGCAGATAGGTCTTGAACCGGTAGAACTGGATGCGAAAGAGGGCCTCGCAATCGTTAATGGAACAGTTGTCTCCACTGCGACCGCGTCACTAGCTCTCCATGATGCGCACGTTCTTCCTTTGCTCTCCCAGATAATCACCGCTATGAGCGCTGAGGCATTGCATGGTACTGCCGAGAGCTTCGATTCTTTCTTCTCAGAATGCCGACCCCACACCGGGCAGGTACGATTATATCCTCCGAAGCGTATGAGAAGCTCATTCCTGACATTCTTATTAGATTGATGCCGCTCGTAACATTTCGTCGTTCTTGAAGGATTCGAAGTTATTGCAGGACTACGATGCCTCAAGTAACAATCTCCGCCAAGATCGTTATTCTATTCGGACCGCGCCGCAATGGATTGGACCTGTTCTAGAGGATTTGGTGTTGGCGCATGAGCAGCTGTCTATCGAGTTGAATTCTGCAACCGACAATCCTCTTATCGACCCTGAAGGGAGAGTACTCCATGGAGGAAATTTTCAAGCGAAAGCAATTACTTCTGCCATGGAGAAAACGAGACAGGGCGTCCAATCACTGGGAAGAATGCAATTCTCACAGTGCGTCGAGATCATAAACCCAGCAACAAGTTGTGGTCTTCCTGCAAATCTCGTAGCAGAAGATCCAGGCACCTCTTACATCTTCAAAGGCACTGATATCTACGTTGCGGCTCTTCAGGCTGAGCTTGGATTTCTTTCCAACCCGATGAACCATGTGCAAACAGCGGAGCTTGGGAATCAATCTCTCAACTCTCTCGCGTTACTCTCAGCAAGATATACCCACCTCAGCAACGACCTTCTCTCTCAGATGGTTGCCACTCATCTACTTGCTTTGTGTCAAGCGCTAGATCTGAGAGCGATGCAATCCATGTTTGTCGAACACTTCAAGCCACTGTTTGACGAAATCATACTCAGCGAGTATTTCGCTTTGGTAACATCCGACAAGGACCTTGACACCAACGAAGTTGTCTCAAATGATTTGGAGACTGCGTGGAAACAATTAGTAGCCTCATTCTCCTCTACTGTGGGCCTATACGCAGCTGAAAGGTTCCCTAAAATAGCTTTAGCTATACAGTCCACTCTGCTCTCGAAGCCGATCACTGATAGAGCTGTCTGTGAAGCTATGTGAGGCACCAGAGACATGAGGAACTGCATTGAATGTATTGCTAGAGGAGTCCTTTGCAGGAGTCTATATATATGCGAAATAAGTGGGTGGGTCTTGGCAACAGACTATGGTGCCGATGCATCTGCCGATGCATCCGACCATCGTGTGACGACACATCCGACACATCCGACTATCGTGTGACTATGCTGACGATGCATCCAAGTGTCATCATTGCAAACACTGTCGATCAACTTTCTACCGCTCAAGCACTGTCAAGAACACTGGAGCGTCAAGTAAGTGACGCTTGGAATAGCTTCCGAGCCGCATACCTGGAACACGGCGATGCCAGCTCGCTCCTTGGAACAGCCTCTAAGCAGATCTACGGATTCATTCGGAAGGACCTTAAGGTTCCATTTCTATGCCGTAAGAAGCTTATGACTCCAGATGGAGATATTGAGAAATATATGCACGCTCCAGCGTACGACGAGGCCCCAACGGTCGGCTCCTACACTTCTAGGATCTACAAAGCGCTCAAGGATGGACTTTTGGCAAAGAAAGCTGTAAATATACTTCAGGAAGTACGGCAACCATAAAGGTCCTTATCTGACCTTCTGGCCGGCTTTCACTTCCGTTTACGGGGCTGGATAAAACCGCTAAAATTGTAGTCTCTATATTTATAGTCCTTATTCCACAACCATAGGAATAAAAATTAAACCATATTTCCATCCATTCCCTTTACATATTCGAGTGTAGGGTATCATCTCGAATCGTCGATGTAGTTACGCCGCATAACTTTTCTAGTTGCGGGTTGATATACGATATCAGTCGGAGCGATCCATTCTCTTCGATAGAGCAGCCTAGGTATGTATGTACTCCCAGTTCAGTCCGCAATGCCTTAGATGTACTTCCGATTATTAGTCTTTGCAAATCTAGAAGGATCATATTCCTGGGGTCAACTCACAAGGCCTCTTGTAGAGAGGCTGAATATTGGTCAACGTGCTCGGCTTTTCCAGCGCGTCCAGCAGTACGTAGTACGTACGGTTTCTGCGTACTACAGGTACGTTACAGTTGCTAACAAACTAAGTACGTACGTTACAGACAGAGGGTTAGTATAGTACTAAAGAGCAATCTGTATGTATTAATTTAGAGCTTCTATAGCTAGTAATATATACAAATTTCCTAATTAAAAAGAAGGCTTAAGTTAAGGCTGTTAAGGACGCTGTTAACATTAGAAACACTGTTAGTACTACTGTTGTTGCTGTATACTGCGTTAGCGTCTTTCTTCTTGTTATTTATATAGGCTGTTAGGTCTTTAAAGTAACTAGGCACAGCATCTCTCCTTAGCTAATTCTTCTGCAGCTAGCAACCTTTAATAATAGCTAGCAATAGTAAATTACAATCACACGTAACTGTATGTTTAGCAGAGAAGAAACAGCGCTTGCAGTTGCACAACGTGGCTAGCACATAGAGGTAATGTATAGCTATTTTAAAGATAATTAGGTACTGTTTTTAACCTACTTTTACTTACTAGTAGTAAGAATTGTCTAGTAATTTATCAAGTTGCTAGTTAATAAAAGCTTATTATAAGTTATTAAAAAGGCTTTTATTATACTTCTTTAGCTAAAAGCTTTATTTCTATTTTTTATGTAACTTCTAGCTAACAAGCAGCATAAGATCTATAAACATTATATGTTGTTAGCAAGCGCTTATTTTATAGACCCTAGGCAGCTTACACACGCTATTAGCCTTCTTAGTGTTGTTATTAGGGTCTCTATAGAGCGCCTACTCTGCCTATAAATATATAGTAAAGGTGCTTTTAATTAACTTCTTAGCCTTTTAGATCTAGTAAGGATAATAACTTTAGTGCGTCTAAAACTAGCGCAGGCGCAGGCGTGGGTGTAGAGCTGTTGCCACGCAGTATAGCAACAAATCTAGTTTAATTACTAGCTTTTAAAAATATATGTTAAGCTTTTTTTTAGTAAAAGTAACTTTATTTTCTAAGTATTATAATTATGTAAAGTGTTTATAAAGGGCAACATTATTAGTAAAAACTTTATATATTTCTTATAAGTTTATAACTGTCTACTATAGACTGCTAAAACTGCTGCTACTAGTATTGCCCTCTAAGAATTTGCAGTTCTTATAAAAGACTTATAGTACATAGTAAATAACCTAAACTTTATCCTATTTATTCTTTATAAGGCTATTAATATAAAGATTATAATTACTACTAGTAAAAAAGTTATTATATAGGTGTTTAATATAGAGTTAAATTAACTACTAAAGCTCTAGGCAGCGCAGTAACATGTAATATATGCTGTGCTACTAGATCCTACTATTCTTAACTAAGTTAATTATAAAGAAACTAAAAAGCTTATTCTTATTAAGTATTACTTAACGTACTTCACAGGCGAGTTGCTTACACACCTAAGTTGCTTACTTTTGCTAAGACCTTACTAAACCACCCTTCCTACACTAATGCATTCCCTATAACACTACTTAGACGCGCTAAAAAAATGTTAGATATAGCTTATACTCTAAGCTTTTAAATAAGATATAAAACTCTTAAAGAAATGTACTATAGCTATAAGCAAAGTCTTATAAAAAATAATAAATAACTATAGCGCTAGACAACCTTTACAAGCTAATTCTACAGCTAAATTATAAAGGCTAGGTAATAAAAAGAAGCAGGTAATTATTAAGACTATACTTAAGCTATATGCGCAAGGAATTTCCTCTTAGATAGCATTTATAGCTAATATAGCTAATTCTTTGCGCGCTAAGCGTAATCTAGGCTATGTTTGCATAAACTAGCCTAGTATGTTTATAAAGCATTATTTAGAGCTTAAAGTAATATTTAAGTGTAAGTATAACTATAAAAGAGCTTTCTATAAGAGTTCTAGAGTAATTTAGAGCAGGTTTAGCCTTGTAGAGAATATTAAAGCTAAGTATAGCATCTAAAATAATAACATGTACAACTTTAGTAAGACAAGGTTTATAATTAGCTAAATATCTTTTAACTATACTTACGCTTAAAACTTTACTTTAAGCTTTAAATAACGCTTTATAAACATACTAGGCTAGTTTATGTAAATATAGCCTAGATTACGCTTAGCGCGTAAAGAATTAGCTATATTAGCTATAAATGCTATTTAAAAGGAAATTTCTTACGCATATAGCTTAAGTATAGTCTTAATAATTACCTACTTCTTTTTATTACCTAGCCTCTGTAATTTAGCTATAGAATTAGCTTATAAAAGTTATTTAGTGCTATAGTTATTTATTATCTTTTATAAGACTTTATACATAGCTACAGCACATTTTTTTAAAAGTTTTATGTTTTATTTAAAAGCTTAGAGTGTAAGCTATATCTAACATTCTTTTAGCACGTCTAAGTAGTGTTATAGGGAATGCATTAGTGTAAGAAGAGTAGTTTAGTAGAGTCTTAGCAAAAGTAAGCAACTTAGGTGTGTAAGCAACTTGCCTGTAAAGTACGTTATTATATGCTTATAAATAGGTGTTAGTGTTTATATAATGCGCATATAAAGTTAATAAAGTTATGTAGCTTACTAATAACACTTTTTTTTATAAAATATAGTATATTGCTTAGCAGCTAATGCTTATAATAGTTTAAGTTTAAATTTACTAAAACTTTTACTATATATAAAAGCCTTTATAACTAGGTTTATTATGTGCCTAGCACGTTAGATTTAGTGTTAAGAGCTAATATAAAGCTTACTATTAGTAATTTTGTTAATACTAGTAAAAAAAGTCTTGTTATTATTTACTACATTATTAGCTATAAAATAATAAATGTTCTAGGTAAAATTATACTTACTAAAAACTTTAAGAATAATAAAAGCTTATATAAGACCTATATAGTTACAGAAAAGCGCTTAAAAAGTAATAAGTAGGTTTCTCTAATAGAGTTATATATCTAACTTACTTCACAGGCGAGTTGCTTACACACCTAAGTTGCTTACTTTTGCTAAGACCCTACTAAACTACCCTTTCTACACTAATACATTCTCTATAACACTACTTAGACGTGCTAAAAGAACATTAGATATAGCTTATGCTCTAAGCTTTTAAATAAGACATAAAACTTTTAAAGAAATGTGCTATAGCTATATATAAAGTTTTATAAAAGATAATAAATAACTACAGCACTAGATAACCTTTATAAGCTAATTCTATAGCTAAATTATAAAGGCTAGGTAATAAAAAAAAGCAGGGAATTATTAAGACTATACTTAAGCTATATATGCAAGGAATTTCCTCTTAGATAGCATTTATAGCTAATATAGCTAATTCTTTGCGCGCTAAGTGTAATCTAGGCTATGTTTACATAAACTAGCCTAGTACATTTATAAAGCGTTATTTAGAGCTTAAAGTAAAGTTTTAAGCGTAAGTATAGTTAAGAGATATTTAGCTAATTATAAAGCCTGTCTTACTAAAGTTGTACGTGTTATTATCCTAGATGCTATACTTAGCTTTAATATTCTCTATTGTAAGGACAGAGCTCTGTACCACTACGCTAATACAACTAAAAAGATGTGAATAATTAACCAACAGTTAATTATTGCGTACAGAATAGTATATATACCTGTCGCACGTAAGCACCATCTCAGCCTTACATTATCCCCCTTCTTAGCAGACGCATGTCCCAGGCGTCACATGACCTACCCGCAGCTCAGAGACGCCTATGCGCATGTCTCGGTTACCGGCCAGAGGCTGACCACCTGCGGCCCAGAGGCGCGGGATAAATAACGACGCTTAGTGGCCCACGCCAGCTAAGCCATATACACTAGACCTTCCAGCAGCAACAACGTGGCGCTAGAAGAGGCCGCCTCACGTTTCAGTCTAAAAACTGGCTTAAAGCTGACTGAGGTGGGGGTCGAACACCGACTGTACCCCGCTGTTAGTTGATTATTATGTAAGGACAGAGCTCTGTACCACTACGCTAATACAACTAAAAAGGTGCGAATAATCAACCAACAGTTGATTATTGCGTACAGAATAGTATATATACCCGTCGCACGTAAGCACCATCTCGGCCTTACATCTATAAGGCTAAACCTGCCCTAAATTACCCTAGGACTCTTGTAAAAAGCTCTCTTATAGTTGTACTTACGCTTAAATGTTACATTAAGCTCTAAATAACACTTCACAAACGTACTAGGCTAGTTTATGCAAATATGGCCTAGATTATGCTTAGCGCGCAAAGAATTAGCTATATTAGCTATAAATGCTATCTAAGGGGAAATTCCTTGCGCATATAGCTTAAGTATAGTTTTAACAATCACCTGCTTCTTTTTATTGCCTAGCCTTTATAATTTAGCTGTAGAATTAGCTTGTAAAGGTTGTCTAGCGCTGTAGTTATTTATTATCTTTTACAGGACTCTGCACATAGCTGTAGTATGTTTCTTTAAGAGTTTTATGTCTTATTTAAAAGCTTAGAGCGTAAGCTGTATCTAATGTTTTTTTTAGCGCGTCTAAGTAGTGTTGTGGGGAATGCATTAGTGTAGGAAGAGTAGTTTAGTAGGGTCTTGGCAAAAGTAAGCAACTTAGGTGTGTGAGCAACTTGCCTGTGAAGTACGTTATAAGTTATGTTAGAGAATTACTAAACATTAAAGTTTTGCTAGAATAATGTTGTTCTAGCTAGCTAAGGTTCTACTAATTAACTTACTAATAAAGTAGGTAATAACTCTAAAAAAGTCTATATTATTTAGCAATATTTAAATATTACAGCTTACACTTATTTTACTCTACACTGCGTGTAAAGTTTTTTATATAACCTTTTTCTTTTTATAAAAACTTTTTTTATATACCTAGAAAGTGTAGTGTAGCTACCTAGTAGCGCTATAAGCAGATCTGTTTAATTTTATATTAGTAAGCCTTTACTAACTACTAATATTACTATTAAGAAGCTTAAATTATATAGTATTACCTAGTTAACATATAACTTAGAGAGCTCTACTTCTTACTATAGTGTATAAAAAATAATTAATTACACACTTATAGCTTTCTTAAATAGATCTAACAGCATACTAGCAGCCTATAGTATTATGCTAGTGTTAGAGTTAATAAAGTGCTTCTTTTTAAAGTGCCTAATAATATAAGTAGTACTAAAGTATGTAGTAAATAAGCAGAAAGCTGTTCTACTTATATAGCATTTCTTACACAGGAAAAACGCTGTTCTGCTAACAAGGTTGTTCTATAAGTATTCTACATCTGCGCTATATTACTAGTATAATCTTCCTTTATAGCTACTTAATAACTTTAATTTATGCTGCATGTAATACCTAATGTAGCTAGCTATAAGCTTAGTGTTATAATGCTATAAGTTATTCTAATTAATATTAAATTACCTACTTAAATTACTGCTACTAGGATACTTATGTAAAGGATAAATAGACAACAATAGTAATAATAAGAAGCTAGCTAGCAGAGCGCTATAAGCAGCAGAGGCGCGACGCAGCGTTAGAGTTAACAGCTATAACATCTGTGTTAGCTAAGGTAATTAAGTACTTTATAAGGTAACTTAGCTAAAAATTAACATATTAATTTTAATAATATAAATGTTAAATTAGTAGAAGAAGAAGCTTTTAATTATATAAGAACAGAGCAAAAACTAAGCTAAGAGTAATATGTAGAGACATTCTGCGCATCCTACGCCTAATGCAGCTAGATCTGCCGCCTCTAGCACCTAAACGCTTAACTTATAACTCCTTCCTAATTAGGTAACTGTACATCTGTACTACAGGTTAAAAGTTAGTACAGTACAGTTGCAATTACAGCAAGATTTCTATAGGATACGTACTAACAAAAACTAAGTACAGACTGTAAAGTACGGTTAGTAGTACGTACTGTTGGACGCGCTGGGCTTTTCCCTGTTCTACTAGAAATTCCTCTACAGCTTTGCGCACACTCTCATCATCACTGACAAAGTGACGCACTGGTATGTAAAGCTTGATACTCGGAATGGCGTCACCTAGTCGGAATGAAGCGTAGTATAACAGGCCCGAAGTTCGATGGGCTGTAGAATCAAGGAATTCCTCAAGAATGCCGTTTGAACTAACTAAGAGGCTACAAAGTCGCCTAATATTTCGGATTCCCTTTTTCAAAGAATGGGATAAAATAACGCCTCTAATTGACATTATATGTTCTACCGATGAAATAGACACGTCTCGTGAGCGAAAGTAGATTTTGAGACGAGCGGTTGCGGGACGCAATAGATCAGTTGAAAGCATTTCAAACTCCAGTCTTCGACCGTAACTCTCGTTGAAGAAGCCATCTAAGACACTCAAGACCTGGAGATTCTCTGAGTTGCAACTTGGTGCGGTCTTGATGGCAGCGGAGATAACATTCCAGGCAGGTGCATTGCAGTGGTATGCCAGCCATTTCGGGAAAAAATATGCCTTGGCCATAGTGCTGCTGCGATCTAGATCGAAGGCGTAGAATATTTGAGACAAATGGCCTTCAGTTTTCGTCAACGCTATTGTAGCGTCTTTGCCGCGGAAAATGTCGGAAAAATGGGTGTACCATGCGAAGTCGGACCGAGGATTTCTCATAATAGTATAATGATGGAACTGAGCTACTGCCCACTGGTTAAGAGGATCAACCTCTATCCCGGCTGAAGGACCGACAGGCTCAACTGATAATCTTATTTTTGGCTGCTGTTTCCCTGAACCCCAGTCCCAACTGAGTTCTACAGGAATGCCATCGTCTGTCATAAAGCTTTGCCATCGGGCCACACCTTCGCCGGAGAGTCGAGCTGGTCCAAGATACGGAACGATACTTTCTGCGAAGAACCGTAAAGAGCTGTATCTGTCCCAAACAGGGTATCTCGCATGGAATAACATCGGATGTAAGGTGTGGCCAGACGTGTTCCACCAGAAGGTTTGATCAGGCCCTATGGCTTGAGGTCTTTCAACACTCAACCAGTGCCAGACAAGATCTCTTTCAGAGGCCTCAAGAATATGGTAGATGCTAGTGTCCTTCCGCTTGATTGGAATAAATATCTACAAGCAGCAAACTAGCCACCCTATTTCACCTTATATTATTGGAAGGCGGTTGTTACATCGTTAATGCAGGGTTTTGTATCAAGACTCGGGTTTTCGACCGCGGTCGTGCATGTCCCCGATCAATTAAGGATATGAAACTTCTCCGCTCTAGAATGGATAAGGCCGAGTAAAGCGCAAATTAGCCATCAAGTTAATAATCGATGAGTTAAGAAACTGTGACTCCTCAATGCATCGCCTGATACGACGTGAGACATACCTGTTGCAAATAGAGGTTGTGTGAGCATGCAGCTATAGTAGAAGCTGATGAGTGTATTGTGTAGTGTCCAAGTGCTCTGTTGCAGAGTATTTATTTACATCTATGACGGCCGGGGCATTAAGAGCCATGGCAATGGCCAAAGGCCATGGTGAAGGTAGTGGGAGCGATAGTAAAGTCAGTAGGTGCCATAGTAACAGCAGTAGGGGCCGTTGTGGCACAGTGAAGGAAGATTTCCGTATCAGGAATGCGACAATACCAGAGTGGGTCCTCCGGCGGGCTGATGCGATACCGTTGGGTGCAGTGCTGCCTGGACACCTCATTAGCAGATCCATGCACCTCGCCTCATTGGCACAGCAAGGTGGGAAGAAGAATCGCATTATCCGGGTTAACACGAACCATCTTTCTCGACACGAGTCTGCGGGCCGAGGTATAACAGCCAGTCGTAACGGCGTCATACCATCTGCGTTTTGATTCCATCAGTACTTTGCAGCTGAAAGCACTCTCAATTGGTTTAATCATGGATTCCTTCGGGTTTAACATTATGGAACATGTCATCGCGTGTCAACACATTCGCGGGTATCGAAATGCAACCAAGGATGCGACAACCCAGCTACGCCTTGCTGTCAAACAATACACGCCGAAGGAAGTCCCATCTCCGCGGGCTATTACAATCATTGCGACTCACGCAAATGGCGTTCCAAAAGTAATTAGCCCTCCGAAAGCTGCAAATGTTCAATCTATAACTAGTGGCGGTCTAGGAAGCATATGAACCATTGTGGGAGGAGCTGAGACTCCGCCTGGGTTCCAAATTGAGGGATATTTGGATTGCGGACTGTGCCCATCAAGGTGCCAGCGGCGTGCTGAATGAAAACCTTCTCGGAGATGATCGTAGGCGCATTCCCGCGAGTGACCTGACCAACTTGGCTCACCTGACCCAGCAAATTGGTTCGACCATTCTAGAGACTTACTAGGCATGGTAAATCATTTTCGAGATTCCATTCAACCCCCAATTGTAGGATTGGGTCACAGCATGGGATGTGCACAGCTGTAGGTTATCGCGACAAACTATGACAAGAGCAATGACCGACTCATGACAGCGTTCAACTCTCAACCATACATCCTCGACTATTCCAAGGGTTGGTTTTTGTGGAGCCAGTCATGTTAAAAGATTTTCCACCAGGACCCAATGCAGCGTTGTTCACTAGTTATCGACCAGATTTGTGGTCCTCGCTCGATGAAGCACAAGAGTATTTTCGGCAAAATAAGTTCTACAAAACATGGGATAGAAGGGTAGTGGACATCTATTTGAGGTATGGATTGCGTCCGGTTCCCACTGCCCTGTACATGCAAGAGAAACCAGGATCAGTCACACTCACAACACCGAAGCATCAAGAAGCATGGTCATATGTCCGCTCCAACTTCGGTGAACACTCTGGAAATGTTGAAGGCCAATACGCTGAACGTTTAACGTCTGGCGATCTTGACTCAGCCCAGTCTTCATTCTTGTTTCATCGTGCTGAACCCGGGCTCGCTCTCGAAGCTCTTCCCTTCATTCAACCATCAGTACTCTGGATATTTGCCGAGGAGAGTTACATCAACCGAAGGGAAGACATGGAGTTCAAATTATCTACCACTGGTTCTCAGAACAGAGCAAGTGGAGGCGCAAAGGCTGGCTCCGTTCGCATGGAAATTGTTCGCAAAGCGGGGCACCTCCTTCCCCTTGAGAAGGTGGCAGAAACTGCGAACGCCATTGTGCCATATGTCAAGGATCAGATTCAGGAGTTTCTGCACGATGAGGACTTTTGGGCTTACTACGATGCGGGCAGGTCTGAACCGGGCAGGCTCGCTTTGTCTCAACGCTGGATGGAAGAAGTTCGAAAGAAGGCGAATGAGAAAAGACCTAACTTGAAGATGACTAAACTATGATTTCTGGCAAATAAAAACCCGATATTCTCTCTCATGTTACATACAAGAGCTCAATTTCTTTAGCATATAATTGCTCGCTCTCTCTTCTCGCGATGGTGCCTTTTGGCGTGCGCACTAGCGGCTTCTCGGACCGTGCGTATATCAGCATGTCGCTGTGCAACTTTACCAGCTCTGAGGATGACTTGTTTACGCTGTCTATGACTGATATAAAGCTCGCATGGTCTTCGGTGCTCATCGGCAGATTGCCCTTGCTCTCTATGATTGCGAAGGGGCGTGCGCGGCCCTGCCCACCGATGAGTACCGCTGACAGATCCGCGTGAGCTGTAATCATTTCTTCCAGGCCGGCGGCGTATAAGCATTCTCCGTGAGATAGGATTACAACGTCATCTGTACGTCCAACATACTTCCACCGGCCAGGCATCGAAGGATGTGGAGAGAAGAGATCTTTGGTAGAGAATTCCTGGAGATCAGGGTAGACCTGAAACACCTGTTGCCATCTCTCAATACTTGGATGCCGAACAAAGACAGGCTCGTAGAGGTCTTTGGCGAACAGGCGAAATTTTAAGCCCATTGCTGGTCGGAAGGAGTAGTACTCCCAATCGTCCTGGTCAATGATCTTGAGAAAATATGCCCCGGCTTCCGTTGACCCCATAGCTGGTTTAACTGGTACATGCCCGAGAAGCTTCTCAGCAGCCTTTCTTGGCATAGGAGCGCCTGCAAAGTACAGGTGCTCCAATCTGCGTAAGGATTCCAAACCAGCATCATCTTCACACAGTCCTTCAATGAGTGCTGGTGGGAGCATGGCACCTTCTACTTTGCCACGCTCCAGCACGCATCTTGCAATATGAGGTGACGTTGGACCCGGAGATGCCGGTCCAACTACCAGGACGGCGCCCAGGTATACTGTGAACTGTAAAGCGACAGTCATCCCGACAAACTGAAGCAACCCAGATGTCAGTCCCTGTAGTATGGATTGGTTTACTCGAATATGCAGTTTCCATTGCTTACATGGAGCGATGGAAGCGGTGTATACCAGCGCTTTTTCTCAAAGTGGCGGTTCATGGTCTCTTCGTTACCATCTGGCATTAGCTCGGCAGCATCGAGAGATGCCATCATCTGATGGGTGTAGGTCACGAGTTTAGGAAGACCTATTTAATTAGGTTTGCCCGTGTTGATCATATACTGCGACGTACCGGTTGTCCCTGAGGTATGGAAAATCAGCCACGGAATGGATGCCACGTCTTTCCATGGACCTGAAAATGGTAGATATGGGGCTTTCTTCTCTGTGAGCCAGTCCCCTAGGCTTGGTATCTCTATAGACTTTGCTTGCTGTCGCTGCGTGCTAAATAGCACCTTTTTAACTTCCTCGCCAAACGAAGCCGCGTGAAGAAAGTACCGGCAATCCGAATGGTCGAGAAGATGAGCTTGAGCATTCTTCGAGGCGTAGGGGGAAGGTAAAAGCAGCTATTGTTATTAGCTTAGCTGAAGTGCAAGGTGTTGCTTATATTATGTAGCTCACCTTGCGAGAAATCTTAGCGACAGCCAATGCAACAATTGGGTAGCGTAAGTCCTTGGGGCCAGTGTATGCTATGGTCTCATAAGGCATCGAGGCAGGACCCAGGTTCTGGGTCATCCACGCCGCGGCATGATTGATGGCGTTGGCTAGTCTTGTAAATGTAATGTCCGTGAAGCCTTTACCTAAATCACTGTCATCTAATGGAACAGCTGCCCATACCCTAGATGGGGTTTCGACCGCGTATTGGTCAATTAGGCTCAAAATGGACCTTGAGCCACGTGCATTTGCAAGCGCCATCGAGAGTACAATGAGCGATGCGCCACCTCTTTCAGCAGGAAATCGAATGCGCGAGAAGGACTCTGTGGTGGTTGTAGAGGTATATGTGGGATCCTTAGATCGCGGGGACCTTCTGGCGCGGGGGCGTCTGGAGTGCCTTCCTCGAACTACCACCGCCAAGAGTCTGCGCCGCAAGACCCAACTCTCGGCCGTAACATTAGCAGGGATTTGTTTATCGAACAGTGGGTGGGATCAATATCAATAGTATATCAGGAGCCTTCCAAATTCCTTCTTGATCCCCGACGCTGGTATTCCGTTAATATAATTTCGGACTCAATCGAAACGGCGGGTCGCCCTTAGCTATTCGAGGCCTTCGGGGACAGACCGATGATACAATGTTAATCATCCACACGCGACAGTAGGTTTTAGCGCGTTCAAAGCTCAAGGATGTTCTTGAGTGCTCTTCGACCCGCTGCGTAGAACAAGCATAACAAATCGATATTTCTTTTGAAATAGCCCGTTTACTTTAACACTTACTGCAACTGAGTCACTTTTCACATCTATTTCTTTCCCCAAATACTCCTCGACAGCTCAATTTAAGCCGCAATCAGAATATCAGAGCAGGCCGGCTTGTTCTGGCATCCCAATAGATCAAGTACTAAGTTGCCTAAAGACTCAGAGGAAATACTCTCAGGAACAAACTCGCCTTCGAAATCACGCCGCAAGCACCACCATTGTTGTAACGTCATGACGGGAGCATCATTTGGACATGAACTATCCCCAGAGTATCTTGCGGAGGACAAAGGCTACGTTCTGGTGACGATATCTGCTCTCTTCATCGTGGTCGATTGCATCGTCGTTACTCTTCGAATCTACGCTCAAAGACTGAACCGAATGCCGATCGGCCTAGACGATATCTTGATACCCTGTGCGTGGCTGGTACATATTGGATTGTGTATACTTGGCATAGGTAAGGATTTTGCTGGACTTCTTGAGAGAGGATTTTCGTCACTAACACCAGGTAGTCATGGTACATGAAGCTGGAGTTGGCAGACACCTGGCCTTCGTCATGCAGACAAATCCAAAAGATATCGTTTCATGGGTTAAATCCATCTACTCACTCGAGTGGCTATATCTGCCCTCAGTCGCAGTTCCGAAAGTATCGATCCTGCTGCTATATCTCCGACTCTTTACCGGCCGCGTGGAGCGGATCACAACGCATGTCTTGATTTATATCGTAATTGCCAATTGGATTGCCTATCTTTTGGCCTCATCTTTTCAATGCCTCCCGTTCGAGTATCAATGGAATAAGACCATTAAGGGAGGAAAGTGCTTCAACATACCGATGTTTTACAAAACCGTCAGCGCACCGAACATTGCCACTGATTTAGTTATCCTTCTTCTTCCAATACGTATGATTGTGGATCTCAAAGTCTCTACGCCAAGGAAGATTGGACTGTCTGTAATTTTCCTGAGTGGCAGCGTGTGAGCAACATTGTGATCACTGAAAGTGTGGAGTATGGCTACTAAAATCAATTACAGAGGCATTATAGCATCCTGCTTCCGTATGGCTGCATTTTTTCAGACCGAAGCATTTGTTGACAATACGTGTACGTTGAATTGTGCTGCTCAAATTGCAAGTGAGACTAATAAATTGTTATAGATGCTTCGGTGAAGCTTGTCGGTTGGTCCATCATTGAACCAGGGATGTATCTAGTCGCCGCGTGCTCACTGAAGTTTCGTCCTGTGTTTGTTGCGCTTGCAAAAGTCCTTCGAATACGCAATGTATACGGCTCAGATCCGTACAATCGCTTCCAAGGAACCTCCAGTCACAGAGGAGTTCAACTGAAAGACATGCCGCATGACCATTCAGGATCTAGCAAAATCAATTTAGGCCTAGAGGATGTTTCTTCAACAACAGATATTTTCGTGTCGAATAGCAATAGCCACTGTGTGTAGGACAATGCAAAATATTTCTATAATATCTTCTATTAGATTCACAAGCTGAAGAAAAGTTTTTAATTTCCGCATAAATTTGAAAATTAAAAATTCACATCTAAATAAAGTTCCCACCTTCTAAGTACATCTTAGCTAGAGGAGTTTATATTATGTATAACGTACTTTACAGGCAAGTTGCTTACACACCTAAGTTGCTTACTTTTACTAAGACTCTACTAAACTACTTTTCTTACACTAATGCATTTCTAACAACACTACTTAGACGCACTAAAAGAATGTTAGATATAGCTTACACTTTAAGCTTTTAAATAAGATATAAAACTTTTAAAGAAACATGCTGCAGCTATGTATAAAGTCTTTTAAAAGATAATAAATAACTATAGCACTAGACAACCTTTATAAGCTAATTTTATAGCTAACTTATAAAGGCTAGGTTATAATAAAAAGTAAGTAATTATTAAGACTATACTTAAGCTATATGCGCTAGGATTTTCCTTTTAAATAGCATTTATAGCTAATATAGCTAATTATTTACACACTAAGCATAATCTAGGTGTCAGATATGCGCACCTACTGTCAAGACAGGAGGAACGTTTGACGAAAGCTGCTACATAGTACGAGCAATAAGCTCGAACAGTATG